TTTCCCTCGAAAGGGTCCATTTCTAAGCAATCATTTTCATATAAGAGTTGGTGACTGTTTCATTTCTAAGAATACCTAAGAATATATTTTTGTGGGTGAAGTGCATTTTATTCACTGTTATATTTTCCCTGGAAACAGCTCAAAAACTTATTCAATACAAGGGGAACATATTGCCCTTTTCAATATTACAGATTAGGAAGCCTCCCCTGCTGTAAAATACTTTCAGTGCCCTTTTCTATTGCAACACTCTCAATTGTTCTTTCCTTAAAATTAACAAACTTATTCTAGCACCATAATATTTGATTATCAGTTCAGTAGTCATTCACTGAATACCTATTATATCTTCTACTTGCTCTCTTGAATTTCCTGTGTTGCCTTATACAGGTATCCTCTGGCCCGCATAAATTAACAAAATATATTTTTGTAAAAATGCTGTAATGATGCCAGGCCACTTTTGAAGCTCACAAAGACGACTGTGTGCCTCTTTTATATTCTTCCCCCACCACCCCCACCCCTAAATACTGCAGTTTGCTTGGCGCTTACGAGGGAACAAATTGTCTCACAGGGAAGGGCATGGGCAGGGCTTGCATCACCCTGACCCGTTCCTGCTTGTTGAGCCAGCCAGGCAGCCCAAGTCAGAGGTTACACCTTCCCTAAACAGGTGTAACTTGAAAACTCTTTCAACTGTACTGGAGAGCTGGGGGGAAAGAACCTGAGTCCCTAAAGAATTTCTTCTAGGGGACAATTATCTTCCCGTAGCTGAATGGTGAAGTCTAACCCAGAGGCAAAGCACCTCCCTGGCCACGTTGTCTATTCCCTTTACCCTTGCAGATACCAACAGCATGTAGTATGGTTATGCCCCGCTTCACAATAATTTCAAAATCAAGTCAGTATGTGCCATGCACTGTGCTACCACACATGGATGTAAGGGGACAGAGCACTCAGGCAAGAGAAAAGCAGAAACTCTGAAGTGCAATTCCCTTTCAGGCACGTGACAGGTCAGGACTCTGCAGATTGGGATCAAGGAGGCCTGCCGCAAAAATGAGCTGGCCGAGGATATGGCTGGCCATCTGCTATGACCTCATCCTGCTGCAAAGCCACAGGGATTTCTTGCCAGGTCACTGCTAAACTTGCAGTTCTTTGATTTTGTCAGTGTTTTCCTTTAACGTTGAGCCCTATCAAATGCAAGATTAAATGCATACCTACATACTCTTGCAAAGATGTTCAGAGACACTGAGCACCACAGTTCCCTCTGTGCCTTCGCATTTCACATGAACAAGGCAAAACAAGCCAGCTTGGTTTAGAGATCTTGAACTAGACTGAAAAATCTTAGCATTAATAATCTTTCTCACCTCGACAGAGGCCAGGGGTTTAGAAAAACTTATTTCCTTATCTAGCACTTCAAAGAGATATGAACCTTGAGTAGTAAGGGTTTTTAGTGGTGGGGAGGAGAACATCCAGGTTTTTGTTTATATCCAAGGAATCTGTGTACTGCTCTGATAATATATTTGGCAGATGAAGCACACAGCTGGATGAGCATTCAACAACTAAACTGTGCAGGCTATTCAACAGAAAGTGCCTTGCACTTGGCAAAAAATGCAAATTTCAAGCCCCTAAACTGATCTTTTTTATTGATCAGAATAAACTTTTCTCCTACTTGTATGTCAAACAAATGAAAATTTTGCAGTAAGCTAATGATGAGTGTCCGCTATTATGCCAGTAGCAGTTCCATTATCAGTTTGGTTATGCTGGTAAAATATGCACACCTAATTACAGTTTTATGCCGCATTAGGAAGAGATTTGATTATACTCATAAGCACTGCTGGAGCTGTACTTATAGTTCTGCCAGTTTACATCCAATTTGATACACTGAGAAAACTTTTTTAAGGCAGCTCCTACAGAGATGAAGATCGCTCTGAGTGAGAAAGCTTTGGAACAAAGTACCACGCAATCCAAGAACGTAGAAGCAGAAAAATCAAACATTGTTCAGAGGTGAGATATTGTTCAAATACACATCATAATAAATAAAAGAAAATTAATCTCAATTAGTTATTTTTGAGGTAAACTTCATCACTTTGAAACAACGGTGGATAAATTCTGTCCAATCAACACATTGTTAAATCAACACATAGACCAGGTTAGAATAAGGCTCAAGTTAAACTATAAAAGCAGCACCTACAATACCCTCGTTTTGGCTGTTCCGTCCATTCTAACTCTTCTGCATGTAACCGTGTTTACTAACATGACCCACCATTTAATATCACACCTGCATGTGCCCTGTTGTGACTGTTTTTGTATTTATTTAACGATATTTCTTAATTTCCCCCCATCCATATTATACAACAGTAGTCTTATATTGCTAAATTAAAATAAAGAAGCTAGGTATCAAATATGTTCAAAAGAGGCAGATTAAGAAACCTAGCAGACCTGCTTTGTAACACTGTGCCCAACAGGTAACCCAGCTGATTCTTTATGTGGCTCTGAATACAGACATTGTACACTTAAAGAGTATCTTTCTGATTACCGTTATATGTAAAGGGCCACATTTTCAAAATTAGCTGCCAGAACTCTGGCCACCAATATGAGTGCAACTGTTTCATGTCGACTCCTCTTATTTATGCATGCATAGAAGGCTCTGTGGATCTCTAGCTAGTAATCAGATTATAATTTCTGATTTGCACTGAAACTTTCAAATAGTGTTCTGTGAAGAAAACTTGTCAGTACACTGACAGTTACTGAGCTGTAGATCAAAATACCAATAACCAAATAGGACTCAATGGCATATTTAAAAGGCTTGGTGCTTGTTATTTCTTTCTGAATCTTTTCTATTCAAATGAGGATCATTTGTCCTTAGAGCTCAGAAAAAAACTGGAGTCTGTCATGCTAAATCTACAAGCTGTGATTGTGACATCTACAGCTTCCAGCTTTCTAGGAGACTCATACTCATTGGATTGCATCAGAGAGTAATTTTGATAGCTCGCCCTTACCCTTTTTAGACAAGTGATGAGGAAGGCAAAACTTCCGTTTCTGAAGTCCATGTGAGCTAGTTACTCTTAAGAAGAGAGATCCATATACAATAAAATCCTCTTCTGCAACCTCTCTTGTTGGCAGACTGTGGTGGATAAGATAAGAAGATTTGGAATAGCTATAATAAGTGTAGCATGAAATGTAACATTGAAAAACACTGACAATATAAATAGATTTTAGATAATTTCCCCGCAATGTACTTACGGACTGATTTCCAGTCCTGGCAGTGGGTTACTAAAAATTTATCAGAAAGCTCAGCTGAGGTGCAGTGCCATGAAAAGGGAATAGCACATAGCCAATTCATTTCTTTGCTGGGCAAAACTCAAACAGGGAAAAGAACTGTTAAAATCAGAGGAGTCTAAAATTTTCAGAATTTGGCTACGTACAAAGGAATAAGGGTGTCACGTGCACTTTATGCCTAGCACTAAAGGAGATCACGTCCATATAATGGCAGGCTTGATTTATTTGCCATGTAAAATGCAATGGTTTATAATTTATAGAATTTGAATATCAGTATTTTGAATCAATTCAAGTGCAAAGGCAAAATAGAAAGGCAAAATACACTGCTAATGTTAATTATTCTTTAAAACTTTCTTAAAACACTTAGCCTACAGCCCAAAAATAAAATATAAAAAAATGTCAGTATGGTTAGCCTGACTGCAAAACTTCATCAGTAAGAAATGACATAGCTTTGCAGAGGAGGGGGAAAGGATTTTCTCACAAAGCTGTCCTTAGATCCCTATAAACAGTTTTGGTGCAGCTTCTTACCAATTGAATATGGAAAAGAAGTGGCTACTGAACAGCAGCATGAATGATATACTTCAGAATAATTTAATTCTTACTTGTAGTTATTATCTATTCATAAATTAATTAAAAAAACACAATTTGTGACAAAATGGAAAATAATTATATGACTTTTGTGTTGTTGTGTGCTTTTAAACAGTTGTATTTCCCAGTAATCTTTCTGTATTAAGAGTTTGCTTTTAATTCCAAAGTATGTTTTAAAATAAGTCACGTAATCGCTGAGGTTGTAAGGGACCTCTGGAAATAATCTAGTCCAACCCCCTGCACAAAGCAGGGTCAATCAGAGCAGGCTGCTCAGGCTGTGTCCAGTTGGGTTCGAGTATCTCCAAGGATGGTGAGTTCTCAGCCTCTCTGGGCAACCTGTTCTAGCATTGGATCACCCTCACAGTAAAAAAGCTTTTAATGGAATGTTTAAATGGAATTTCCTGTGTTACATGCCCACTGCCTCCTGTCCTTTCACTGAGAAGACTCTGGCTCTGTCTTCCCTACTTCCTCACTATCAGATATTTATACACGTTGATCAGATCCCCCTGGGCCTTCTCTTCTCCAGACTGAACAGTTCCAGCTCTCTCAGCCCTTCCTCATACGACAGATGCTCCAAGCCCTTAATTGTTTTTGTGGTCCTTCACTGGACTCACTCCAGTTATGTCCGCATCTTTATTGTACTATGGAGCCCAGAACTGGACCGTCATTTTGAGGTGTTTTATAAATGTGCAAATGGTATATTTTTAATGCAAAAATATTAATTCAAGTATTAATCTTGAAATTTTAAAACTAGAGATAAAGGATTAACATTCCTATTCTTATACTAACCATAACTGATCCTTTAGATATATAATATGTATTAAAGTCACCTTTCACAGCTTATAGAATTCTGAGCATTCATATACGCCTAAGCAAAAACAAGAGTGACAGCCTCAGACAGATGGGTTCATATGCTAGCGTCCATCTAAAGAGTGAGTTAGAAGATAAATAACTCCATGATCTCATGCAGGCAGGTTACAGTTACGTAACACGTGTAGTAAAGTTTTGTAACTGACCATACTGAACGCCTCTAAGAGGTCAAGGCGCCAGCTCGAGTCAGCAGTCCTTCTCCAGCACTACCGAAAGAATGAGTGTGCTTTTCCTGTGTACTGCGACATGCATGTATCATTAAAAAGCTGTAGTCTTTTAACTGATTTCAGTATGTTTTATGTTAGTGTCTCAATGTCTAGTCCAAGTAGTAGGGCTGACTGGCAAGTGTCTCTGCTGGGGTTAAGGGTGAAGAAAATTTCTCTCCTAGACTACACAATACCTACTGATATGCAACAGAAATAGGGTTTGAATATGCCACAGCATGCAGCCTGTGGGAGAGTAGGAACTGGGCAATGACAGATTCTCACCTTCAATAAGGTCATCCCACTGTACCACAATGCAGTATTTCATATTATTTTCCCTGGTTATAAACAAGAACAAACAAAATTTTGTTGTCTCTGTCTGTATTTCTGACTATCGACCTTATCACTAGAGCTGAGAACAATGTTCCATTAGAACTGTGGAACAGAAGGACTTCAAAGTGCAATCTATACTTAAAACAGCTACTTTTTAATTAAAAAAACAAAGTGCATTGTATCCTCACAGTCAGAGCAAAATCCACCACCCAAAGGTGCTGATATCATCCATCTCCAAAAAAAACCTCATTGTTTTTCAAAAGCATTCACTGTGCTAAGAAAAACAATAAAATTACAGAAATTATCTTTGGGTTACATAGTATTTTAACATAAAAATTGGTTGAAGATCAGTGACGCTACTTTAAAAACCTTCTCTGTTTTTTTATCTCAAGCAAAACATAGTCAATCAGTGATACGATTGTCATATAGAGATGAGACTAACTGGAGAACCATAAAGATAATAGTAAACTTATCTTCATCTTTTAAACCAGAACAGTATAAACATTGAATATTTGTTAGCTGACACTTCTGTCTCAGATTATGTTATTCAACTTTCCTTTTGCAGATGCACAAGAAATAATTATTTCTCCGATACTCTGCTCTTCACTGAGCATTAGCGTGCCAGCGACTGCAAAGCAGTAACTGCAGCGGCCTTCCACTGAGGTGAATTTTCACGTGAATTACATATACATATCTGCAAACAATTTTTTTAAGATTTCATTATGAAGATCTTCTTCACCTGAAATATTTGAGTGTCACGTCACTGAGGTTTTTCATATCTTTCTTTGTAGGAAAAAAGAAAAACAATCTGTAATTTTTTTCCTCAGCAATGAAAGGACATGCCTGAGATTCCGAACCGTTAAATGCATTTTGTCCAAATTCTGACAAAACCCTTTTTTGGATGGGGCTCGAACCTGGAAAGTATTGGTTCATTGTGAAGTGTTTTGGAAAATTATGAACCTAGGAAAAAGTGATGCACCCTCTCATAACAGTAACCAGAACACTTTCTCTAAACCCATTGCTATAGTAGTAAAAGACAGTTATATTAAAATAAAATCTACTAGTAATTTTCAAATTTGTCCAAAATTTCTCTTCCTTTTACCCTTGTAACCATGATGCTTTTGAAATCTAATTCGCATGTTTGTGATAGTCAGTATAGTCAAAGTAGGTTTTATTTAATTTTTCTACGATACATTTTCCAGTCAACAACTTAAAAATAAAGAACTGATATGCCATATATGCGATAGTAGGATTATGAGGAAGATCTAAAACTCTACACCCTCAAAAGGTAAAACTTTTCAAGTCATGTACAGAAGTAGTTTGGCTGGTTCTGTGTAGCCCCTGCAACTTTTGTAGACACATGTAGCGTTATTCAAGCAAGTGGGGAGAGAGAAAGTAGGATGGCAGAAGAAGGTGTGGCTGGGGTAGAATTTGTGCTCATTGCAACTAACTACAAACTTCCCCAAAGCTCCATAAGAAGCTTCTGCAGCCCCAGAAGAAAAGCGGATGTGACAAAAACATTTGTTCAGGTATAATTTTATCCCTTGAATTTTACTGTAAATATTAATACTCCATCTTGACAGAGTCACTGGTTAAATAGATGGAGTTTTTTATCTTGGCTAATGTGCGGTTGAATTCAAAATAGCAAGATGAAAGATATACATGTCAATGCTGAAATATTATAGCTGTGAATTCAATGATGAAAAGATGGGAAATCTGAAGTTAGAATTCACATGACGTTTCAGTAATTTTGGTCATGTTTTAGATGTCCAGCTTGGTATTGCTCCCTGTTCTAACCCATGCTAATTCAAGCTATTTCTATCCTTATGAAAAGTCAAAATGTAGACTAGCTGAAGGTGGGTTCCAGACAGGCTATGAGCATGAATAGGGTTGATAAAGCATCATTGTATTACTCACAGGTGTATGAAGGTTGTACTGAATAAATTCCACTAAACTTTGAAACTGCCACAGAGAGTCCATATATGTTACGGATCTTGCACACAACAGTTTAGATCACGGGGACTATTTTTTTTCTTTGTTTTAATGCAACCCTCTATGCTTCTGGGATCATAGGAATGGTTAGCTCATTCAGTTAACATGCTACTTAGTAGTCCCCTCAGCCCCAAACAGACACAAGCCTCCCAAAACAACCTCGGAGGGTCTCATGACTAACATTCTTGAAGCCCAGATGAGCAAAGAGCTGCTTAAGCGGGCAAGGAAGAAAAGGGCTTAGATACCTATGCCTCTCATCTAGTAGAGAAAGTACTTACCTTATTCTGAGAAAACAAGCCTTACAGTTTTGTTATTTCAATTCTAAGAAAAAAAGAGAAGTGAAATGAGAGACTAGGGTTCAGAGACAGAACTATATATCAAACTGATATGTAAATTAAGTTAGCACCTGAGATTAGAGTGACAAAAAGATAGGTTATTTCTTATTCAGGAGTGCCACAAGTTTAAAGTGAGATATTTTGGGAACCTCATATCAAGAAATAATTGCGGAATGTCCCACTGGAATTCTGGGGAACTTCCCTGTCACATAGCATACATTTGCTGTTCCTAGCTCTGTGCAATCATCAGATAGTGGTCTTGGGTTTTTGCTGGAATAGAGTTTATGGTGCCTATTTCAGGCCTTGAGTCAATGACTCATTTGCAGTCAGAAGAAATTCCACTTTCAGGGAAAGAAGGACAACCTCCCAAAACTTGGCAAACAAGTTTTTGTTTGAAATAAGTAGGAGCTTCTTAAAAGTTGTTTTGAGCTTCAAAATTCAGAAATCTGTCCTGGAGGAGACAGGTAGCAGGACAGAGTAGGTGTCAGTCAAGCAAATGGGTAGGCTTAACACATCGTCTCACA